GCCGCACTGATGTTGGTTGAAACTGAACCATGGATTGCAAAAATATATGTCCATATCGCTAGTAGTACGTTGACATGTTTGTTACCATTGTCTAAAATCTCTTGAAAGAGGGACTGACCAAGGTTGGGCCGTGCATGCAGCTGGGCATGATGAGAGGAACGCCTTTGATGCTGCGTTTGGTGGCCCCGTTCCCTTGTTTCAAGTCATTCAGTGCATCACTGAATAACTGACCACCACAATGATGCTTGCTGATGAACGAATACGATAATCACGATAGGGACAGGGACTGAGTCGCAATCTTTGTTGCTTCATGATCTTCATGCCTGTGGTTGTGAGTCCTGCCTGCAGTTTCCACCGCTGTACAAATCTCAGAGCCCTGCCTCTTGGTTCAGAAATTTCAGACTCTAGGTGTGAGGAAGGCCGAAGGTTTGAATTGGCTCCAGTCTGAAGGCCGAGAGAGTCAAAGGCTGCCGGTGGACGTACAGATCATAATCAAACCCTTGCGCATGCTGACAAAAGATGAGCGCGCTCCATGTTGCTTGCCCTATCTCTTGCTCTTTCGATTCTTGTTCAATGCTTTTTGGAATGAGTGGCGAATGCCTCTTGCAGGGTTTACGTTTGTTGGTTTTCGGGATGCTTAATCATTTACGGAATTATAATGAATTGTATACATCTCCATGAATCCAATCGTGTCAGGGTATGGGATCAGCAATGCTGGCAGCATTTGGCTCCAAAAAGGGCAGGCCCTGCTGCCCTAAGGCTGAGGCCCAAGCGGTCCCAGGGGCTCCTGTGATTTGATCATGGGGAGAGCTATGCGGCTCTGCAGGCTCCAGCTGTGTGATCAGATGTGATGGTTCAATGAAGCATGGTGAAATGTAGTGAAGCCAGTTCTTGCACACAATTGTATAGAACTGCATGGAATATTGATTCTGAATTGTAGATTTATATAGTGGCCAGTGGCTTGCTGTAGAAAGCATTGCAAGTTCATTGGTTCACATTGAAATATCCAGTAGGCTCATGGTGGTGTGTTGTGGGCTCACATGCGCTGATCTTGCAGCTTCTGGTGTTTGCTTCTGCAAGTTGCGATTGGATTCATGACACAGCCCTGGCAGCTTGCTTTGCTTAGCCACTGCAAGCTGTACATTCTGGTGCGCCTTTGTGAGCCCTTCATTTGGAGGTGGGGCCTTTATCATTGACAGCTTGACATGCTTGGCACATTTAGACAACGGACATCAAGAGACACCAAGGATGAAACGAGGATATCAACGGAGACACAGGCAATCCAGCAATCAGTGATCCCAATGCAAAACGATGCAACACGGTTGTCATGCTGCTTTTTCGGCAGGGCATCCTGTAGTGGGCCCCGGATTTTTGATCCACGCGCCCACACACACACATGCACGCGTATACTATTTACATCGCCGACATGACCCAAATATGAATAATAGATAGATGTCGACATGATGTCAATGACATAAAGCATCATTAACCATGTACCTTCTCAGTCGTTGATTGATAGTCATGTTACGGCATGTTGCGGCAGCAATTCAGCATGTTACGGCCTCTTCGCAAGGCCCTCCAAAGGCTCCAAAGGCTGGCCAAAGTCCACGTGCATCTCCGGTGGTCCAGCGAGCATCCACCCAGATGCTTGGCTCATCAGTCGAGATTTGATTGCCAACCCCCGAAGGCATAAAAGCGTATAAACGTATAAAAGCAATGATATGCAATGATTATTGACATTTATTGATGATCATTGACGATGATTATTGATGATTATAAGGTGATTGTAGGTGATTATTGGTGACTATTGAAGGCGATTGATGATGATGATGATGATGATGATTATTGGATAATATCCTACAAGTATGGCACGGCCCAACTAACATTACAACATGATGAAGCGCACATCACCTCCCAGCCGCAGGGGAGTGTCCTTGGCTGCACCACTCTGCCTTCTGGCCGTGGCGGCCGTGGCGCGCACCTCGAGACGCAAAGCGGTGAAGCGCCATCCTGCTACTGGGACATAAGCCGGTTAGATCGGCGGTTTGGGCAGGGGGGTAACCCATGTTAATCCCAAGAGAGAGAGAGAGGGTTGCTTTTCTTATACATTGTAAACATTTGCAACATTTTGCAACTAGTTTTTTGAAGGTCAGAACGCAACAAATAGCATCAAATAGTATCAACATGTATCAAATAGCTATATGCTATATACTTACAGAAAGGGAAAGACTTGCGTCAGACCTCGAGCCCAAATGCCCCCTCCTGCAAGAGTCGAGAGACGGAAACACTGGCGACAACCCCCTTACTTTTTGGCAAAGATTCACCACACCACTGACAGTACTCACATAGTCCAGCTATAGGCTATACCCAACTATATCAAACTATATCAAACTATATCAAACTATATCAAACTATATCAAACTATATCAAACTATATCAAACTATTTCGACCTGAGATTCCTGATTTCGCCAATTCAAGTGCAATGACTTTGAAAGGTTTTAAACGTTTCGTTGAGGTTCTTGCTTGCAATGATCCAGCACTTGCCCATACTTGCCCATTTGCTGAGGTTGTGCTCCTTTCGGCATCACGCACGCTGCCCCCTGCCCAGAACAGCTTGAGCCCTGGAAGAGAGGAAGGAATTCCAAGCACAACAGCCGTGTGACGCCAACGTCTTCTATGCAAGACATTACTCAAACAGCATCAAACACTCTTGTGATATCCATGTGATCGAGAATGTTTCCATTGATTTTTGCATTTTTTGCAGGTACTCATTCAAACTCATTCATGGGTTTGGACGTTTGGACATGTTTTGAACCTTGGGAATCATGGTCCGAAGAGGTGTAGCCCCCAGCTACAGTGACTTGATCAGCGTCGAGGCGGGTTGATAATAGATTCCAATGGTCCATGGACTATAATTATCTATCCAGGACTACTTCATAGTTTTTTCAAAGAAAACATATTTAGATTGCATGGCTGTGATTCACAGAGATGCAGGATGAACTGGAGACTGTCCCAATGAATGACAGTGAGAACAGCTTCACGGAGGCCTCGCGAAAAGTATCGGGCGAAAGTACTGATTTTGCTTTTGTAAATCTCTTCATATCTCTTCATATCTCTTCTATATCTCTTCTCTCGAAAATAGCATGACAGATCCCCAGTGAATGCCCGTTGAGGTCACCAAGACGCACATGACTTACAAGCATTCGAAGACCGGTGCGTTTGGAGACTAATCATCGTGTGATCATTCACGATCACCTCTCAAGTCTGGAGGCAAACGTGGAGCCAGTTACTTCCATGCCTGCTGCGCCGGGGCAGAGCCCCAAGTCACGTCGTAACCGCAAGTGGCGATCTTCCAGGTTGGCGGGCGTTGCATGTACGTATCACGCGTATCATCACCCTTCAGCTAGCTAGAGTCCTACTTGTAATTACTATACTCCTGCTATGCATGGAGAGAAGCAACAGCAAGAGAGATTGAGATGTGAATACCAAGATTGAGTATAAGATTGTGATAGAATGGATATATCATGATATCTCCATTTCCATCTGCTCGGGGCCTCGGCCAGTATATTGAGATTTTTGAGAGGGACATAGAGAGACATAGAGAGACATAGAGAGACATAGAGAGACTAGAGTTTCAGTAGTTTGAACGCCGCCACGGAATGTGATCAGTCTGATCAGTGGTAGGACACAGCGGCGCTGCATCGGTGCACGGCTGGCACGACCAGCCGAGCCACTTGTGCCCACAAAGCTTTCCTATGACATCAGCAAGGCTGGAGCTTCACGGTCAGTGGATATGATGATCTGATAGATGTGGATAGATGTGGATAGATGTGGATAGTTAGACGGGATTGAGGCTCGGATAAGGCGTCTCGAGTCTCAACCTTCAGAAACACAGAGGCTTCACTTCGCTTTCTTAAGCTATTGTCTGTCATTTGTCTGTAGAGTGTGTGGTATGTGGATGATGGTGGATGCTGGCATAAGACATCGTAAGACCTGCATCTCTGTTCGTGTCCACCTGAATGAAGGAGGGTGCCTGGACTCTACCTGTTTTGCAGTACGTCAGAATTCCAACTTTTCAGACGCCCTTGGCAGTACACTCACCAGTTTTATCCCAAGTAATTGTTGGACCTGCTCCAAACTCTAGCAACTGATGGCGACTGGTGGAAAGATGCATAGGACGCAAGATTCCACAGGCAGACACGTTCGAACTGATTTTGGGACATGCTTGACAGAAAGGATCAGAAAGGATCAGAAAGGCATGCGTTTCTCGCGCTTTAGCGGCGGGGATCGTGGGTATCGACAGGTTCGCAGCAAGCTCCAAAGTGGTCTCTGTGGACGTGACCCTTCTCGCACTGCGTGCCGTGCCCGCGAGACTCGAAGTCAAGTGAGCACTGCTACAGCACAAGGAATCGTAGCACCTTGGCTGCTGGCGGTTGCCGCGAAATGCCAGGATCATTCGGTTGTTGTACACATTGGCAGGATATGGCAGGATCAAATCCTGAAGTCTCATCTAAAGTGTCAACTCCCTAGGAATCAACTCTTGCTTTTGGAGAGCCTTTGTTAACTCATTGCGCAATAATTAATATCACAATTATCACACACACACATGCCCTTTATATAGCCATTTATAATTAGTCATTTAACTCTATCTCAAAGGAGAAGAAATCACAAAATGGAAAAACGCACACACGGTGACTGTGCTGTGTCAAAGCTGAGGTATATTCTGGTTCTCGATGTTCAATTTTTAGCAGCTTGGACATGCACAGGATGGAGTCCCATTCCCATTGAAACTTCCAGAGTGGCAGCTCACTGTAAGTGAAGAGAGATCAATCGAAACTGCTCCCGGTGTATCCAAGGTGTGGTTCATCACTCCGAAGGATTCTACCATTCGTTGCTCCTTCAATGAGTTTGCACCAGCTAGGGGATCAGGCAGGATGCATCACTATGCAAAAGATCAAACCACTTTGAGACTTTGAGCATAATGAAACATTATGAAACATTAGTCATTTATAGTATTTTATCGTAATTTATAGTCATTGAGTCATTTAGTTTATTTAATGTCTTTTATTTATAATCATGTTGTATCTCAGCTCTTCGCCGGGTCCTGATGTCGCTGCGACAGGTTCCGCCTCTTCCTGGAACCGCCTAAATCTTTGCGATGGCCGCGGTCAGCGCAGAGCCACTACGGCGCAGATGTTCCGGAAGTGGTTGGGGCTGGCCTTGACATGGCCCATGCCTCAGAAAAGGGCAGTTGGCACCTGCTCAGATCTGCTTATCCCATATTAACATATTATATATTGACAATTCTTAACCCGGTACTGAACATCCATGATATCCATGTTTTCTTTCTTTCAACTCATTAATTATCTGGCATTCAGAATTCAGACATGAAGTCAGGCTGGAGCTATGACAATACGGCCTGGTTGGAGGCATGGATTCAACAGGCTGTTTGATGAAAGTTCGTAGTCCTTTGACTTTTTCAGAGGATAGAGGGGTGCAGTACAGCAAATGAAGTGCCTGATTGGTTCTAAATTCAATATAATTCAATCTTGGTGGCAAACGTTTGCATATCCCTCGGCAAGCCAGATGCACCATGGACGACAATATGGGTTTATTAAAGAGAGAGGGAGAGTATTTATCTATAAACATACATATATATATAATATACACATAGATCACATAGTCTCGTGCGTGCTGTCGGATTCCAGAGAAATTCCCAGACATAAAAGGAAAAGTGAAGAACGAGCGAAATCCTGTTGACAGATGTAGTATCTACATGTCTCTGCCGGAAAATATGGGGACAACGCAGGGCAGCGCAAGGAATCCCTACAAAATCAAAATAATTTGATTTATGCTGACCTTCAGTGGTGGTCTTGGAAATCTCCCCACTGACGCCACTTAGCTGCTCCGCTGAGGGCCTGAGGAATCGGTGGCCGACGTCACTGGTGACCTATGCATGGATTCCCCATCTATGATCTGGGATCAAATTGCAGACTTGATCCATCTTTATCCAAAAAGTGTCAAGAAATCGAATCATGATGAATTATGTGTGAAGTTCCGGCAAATTCTGACCAATTGTTTTTCCGACCTGGATCATATGTGGTAAACATGGCCTATGATTTCCTATGATTTCCTGCCGGCAAAGTTTCAAAGTTGCCGCGGAAGCTCTGTCGCCTGTGACTGTCCAAAGTTTCCGGCGCGAGGGCGGCCCAAACATGCGCTGGTGGGGGCAGGAAGGTCGAAGCCCGTGAATTTTCATCCGGGGAAGGTACCGATCAAGAACCCAATGAAAGATATGCAAGGTCATTGGAAGGTCATTGGATCCAGTGCGATCAATTGCCCGAGTTCGCTCCAAGGCACCCACTTCCGCGACACATGAAAGACCCACTGCTCGACCCTACACTTCTCCAAATTCCTAGACTGACGTCACCAGCAAGCAAGCAGCATCAAGCAGCTGCTTTTAATGATGTATAGTATAGAATGCAATGATACAATGTAAAATATCTTGGAAGTCTTTGCAGAGACGCTGTACATCACATGGTATCCTCATATGATCTCCTCATTCCAAGGTATTCCAAGAGGGTTTCATAAACGTTGCTTGCTTTTTGCGTTTTTTGATGATTTTGACGTTGAAACCCATTGATCATGCAACAAGATCCAGTGGGTTCTCACTACGATGTGCAGATTCCTGAGTGCTTCCTTAGTCATATCATCGAGGAGGGTGTTGCATGCTTGACTTTGACCATCTTTGACCAATAGTGAGCCAGTCAAAACCAAATGGTGCAGTTAAATGGAGCAATGTCAAGCAATACTCACTATCCAGGAATCCAGGCCCATCCAAGGTCATGTTTTTTTTTTTTGCGTGACGTTTTTTCTTTTTAAAGGCATCTAAATTGAGGTTTTAAGAGTTACATTAAGTCCCTTCCCAAAATTTAGGTACGTTTCTTCAGAATCTTAGGCAAGACCATCATTAATTTGGTAACGTTAATTGAAATTGCGCTCGTTTGCACTTTCTTGCGCCGAGTTGCGCTCGTTTTGCATCACGTTTGCACAGGGATGAGGTGCAGAAACCATCAGAAACCAAACATATCAAACATGCTCGAATCAACCAATCATTTGTGCCTGAGACGTTTTGTTAGACTATGAAAAGTAGGTCTAGGCAAGATCGATTTAAATATCGAACAGTGTGATGATCAGTGATAATCATTATCAATCATTCTGAATTTCGACAAAAAACGCACAAACTCTAATTTCCTTGCCCCTGCCTGCCTAGCCGGATTTGCAACGGCGGGTTGTATTCAGTTCGAGGCCAAAGTACACATGTACTGCACAAGTAAAAACCACATGAAAAGACAACTTAAGAGGGTTACATGTGACATTACGTGTCCATGCATTTCCTTACCTTACATTGCATGGATACATATACCAGGGATTCTATGGGGGTAAAATATGCTTTTTCTTCTACAACCAGTGCCGGGTGCCACAACCTGCTTGACATTTTTACACCGAACTCCCTGGAACGGCTAGATTTAGATTTCTCTTCAATGGTGACCAGCCTGGAGAAGAGAAACAACCTGACATTATTCGAAGATCTACGAAGATCACGTGTCATCAAGACACATGACTCGCCGCTTGGGCTCCTGGGACACAGCTCATCGATTCTCATAGTACATGGCTGATAGCTTCTCTGTCTTCGCATGACCCCTCACAGGCCACCAAGCCCAATGCAATGCCATGATTTGCCAGCAGAGATCAAATGCTGCAATTCAGATTGCTGCGATATGTTGCGATGTGTAAATCCAGTTGTCATTTTTTCCATGTTGCCTTCCTGTATAATATGACTATGACAGACTTGGTTTATCATTCTGAGTCTGTGAGCAACCCTTCATGAAGTCACGTCAACGCCTGAATGGCTTAGATTGTGCTTCATTCAGCCAGCATTCTTACCTTACAGAGGCCCAGGGATGCAAGCAAGCATGTCACAGAGCAAATGACATGCCCAGATTGTGCTTCATGCCGTGCCGCAACCAGCCCTGACGCTGGTCGAGGCTGATCCTATTGGTGGCGATCGCTGATACATTCTGCATGGCTCTGAGACGTTCCAAGCCACGTGCAGCATTCTGTGTAGTTTGCACTTCAATTTTTGCACCAGTCATGTATGCATTTGACAGTTCTAGTTCGATTCCTTCTTGCAAAATCTGGCTCGAGGAGGGAGGAGGGCTTTTCAATTGCCCATGATACCCATGATACCCATGTAAGCTTGTAGATTCAAGTTGTTTCAAGTTGTTTCAAGCCATGGCGGCCAGACGTGCTGCCTCAAGACGCGTTCGAGCACCCTTCGCTGCTCTCGCAGCACTTTGGTTAGTTGCAGCAGATCCTTGCATGATATTAGAATTATGACATATGCCATTGTGTGCTATTGTATTCTATTGCGCTCTTTGTTGGCTAGTGAAAGTGAATTGTTGGAGACAGATCCACCATAGTCTCTCCATATAAGGAACAGGCAATATAAGGATGATGAACAGCCTAAGGTTCCAGGCAGATCTCTCCATATTCTCTCCATCTGAGGTGATTTCCTTGGTCCAGCTGAACTTCGTTGGACCAGGGATCTCACCTCCCAGGCGTTTGGCCAGGGGTTTTCGCAGCATGCGATTGGTTCAACAGCGAGCTGAGCCCGAGATAGAGCATGTGCCGGTGTCAGGTAAGTCCTTGGATTTGGTTGTTGGGAAGTTCCTTGCCTTGGAGGTTCCAGAAACAGTCCGAAAGTCTTTTTGCCGTGCTTGGATGTGCGGTCAGTCGTTTGCTGTCTTCCTCCTGTAGCATGCTTTCTTTTATTTTTCGCGTTTTGTGGTGGGCTAAGACTCATTGTCGGCATGCTCATGAAGTCAAGGTACTACAATGCCGTCGTGAAAAAGTTTGTGCCAAATGGAGTACAGCTGGACCTCGGTGTGGAGAAGCCGGGCTACCTACATGTGTCGAGAATGAAGCCCAAAGGAGAATTTGTGAGCGACCCCTCAGAAGTCTTGACTTTGAAGGATGTTATCCCAGTTCGCGTTTGGAAAATCAAGGGACGTGAAGTGGAGGCCAGGGGTGCAAAGTGGCAGAGGTACATGCAAACAAACATATCACCAAAAGCGCTTCAATGAACGCGTAATCTCATGTAATATAATGTAATTACTGTAATTAATCATAGTTATAATATGTTATAATTAGTCAATTAGTTAATCATATATATATACCTTCAGAACCAAAACCCGCAGAAATCTTAGGGTTTGAAAAATACCTGAGCTTTTCTGACAAAACCCGGGGTATTTTAACCCATTCTGAAAGTACGGGTTAGGTACGGGTTAGGTACGGGTTAGTACGGGTTAAGTACGGGTTAAGTACGGGTTAGGTATGGGTTAAGTACGGGTTCAAAATCAATACCCGAGGTCTTCAATCGAAAACCGAGGTTTTCTTATTTTTCCGAAATACCTCAGGTTCTTGCGTTGACCCGAAGAATTCTTAGGGTTTTGGTTCTCCTGGTATATATATATATTACTATAATTATTGTAGTTATCAGTTATTGAATGTTATTGCGGAAGTTGTGCCGCTTGAAATTTCGAGGTTCGGGTGCTGCAGGTCATGATGCCTGGAGCCGCACAGGCAGAGTTCCAGAAACGGCCGCTTTGGGACTACAAAGCTGGAGAGGAGCTCGAAGGAACCGTTACGGGGCTGCGCAAGAGAGCGGCGTTTGTGGATGTTGGGGCGATGGTAGATGCATACTTCCCGGAGGAGAACTGGGGAGACCTGGAAGGCAAACTGGAACTGGGCCAAAAGTTGAAGTTTCGGATTGAGAAGGTGATGGGCAGCAGGATAATTCTTGAAGAGGCTTGAGAGAAGCTGCGGCAAAATGGATCACTCGTGTGGCACAAATCAGAGTGGATCACAGTGAACAATGATGAATCATGTAGGACATCTAAGTTATAATGAACCAGCATCGTCCGGTTTTTTTGGTGACTTTTGTATACTTTGTATACTCTTGTGCTGCATCACTTCCCTTGCACATTTATTGTCGTTTTGTCCGCCTCAGAATGAAGCACCATTCCCATCCATTCCCTACCCATCATGTCTATCCGAGTCCATCCATCGTGTTTTGATGTGGGAACTGCACTTTGAATTTGTGTTACATAAACTTATATATAAAGACATATGAATAAACAATAAGTGTCAGTACGGTCATCAGGATATGATTGCGATGCTTTGAAGAGTAACCCCATGAAATCCATAATCACATGATGAGCAGTTCACACGTACGAAATCTTTACAAGATTTGTATAACAATTATTAAACCACTATTAAACCCATATATTCCAGGCACAAGTGATCTCCAGATAGATTGGAGGCTTAAGTTCAAGTGCTCCCACTGAGCTGCTCCGCTGAGGGCCTGAGGAATCGGTGGCCGACGTCACTGGTGACCTATGCATGGATTCTCCATCTATGATCTGGGATCAAATTGCAGACTTGATCCATCTTTATCCAAAAAGTGTCAAGAAATCGAATCATGATGAATTATGTGTGATGTTCCGGCAAATTCTGACCAATTGTTTTTCCGACCTGGATCATATGTGGTAAACATGGCCTATGATTTCCTATGATTTCCTGCCGGCAAAGTTTCAAAGTTGCCGCGGAAGCTCTGTCGCCTGTGACTGTCCAAAGTTTCCGGCGCGAGGGCGGCCCAAACATGCGCTGGTGGGGGCAGGAAGGTCGAAGCCCTGCATTGGGTCATGCGAGACATGGTAGAAGCGTCGACCCTGCACCTCTCTATTCTGCAAATTACCCACCTGTTGTCACCCGAAATGATAATGTGAGGATATGTAGGGAAGGTAAAGGGCCGATATTTGCAGAGAGTGATGGGGAGTGTATCTCATGTCGTATGGTATCTTCATTCCAAGAGGTTTAGTCATCGCTTGCCTTTAGCGAATTCTGATGCTGAAATCTCTTGGTCACGCAGCAGAAGCCTATGGCTGCTCACTATATTACCCAGATGCGCGGGCAGATTCGCTTGTTTGCCGTTTTGGACAAGCTTGCCAATATGCTCTAAATAGATCTAAGTAGTGCTTGCTTCTTGAGTGATCCTAATAATATATATATATATTCCATACATATATATATATATGTATATATATATACTTATATATGGGAGCCGTCCGTAAAAGCAGGTCACAAATTTATGAATTGATGCGTTTACTTTGCTTTGCGCGATTGCTAAAACCTGCATCGCGATAGGCTGAGCGATTGGTTAGCGATTGGTTATACGGCTACCACCCTATTACTACTACTACTACTACTAGTACTACTACTACTACTACTAGTACTATTACTACTACTACTACTATTACTACTACTACTACTATTACTACTACTACTACTACTTTCGAGACCAGAACCATGCCAATAATTGACATGGCCGCGCGGATTCATTCCGCGCGCGGAATCCGCGCAGATGTTTTCAGGTCAGAAGGACATTCAAGCTAGCTCCAATTGAAAACAGGTCAGAAACAGGTCAGAAACAGGTCAGAAACACCAAAAAGGCAGCACTTGCCTAGCATCATCCATCCATCCATCCATCCATCCACCTCAGCTCTTATCATTGCTACTACTACTACTACTACTACTCCTGCTACTACTACTACTGCTACTACTACTGCTACTACTGCTACTACTACTACTACTCCTACTACTACTCCTACTCCTACTCCTACTTCTACTCCTACTCCTACTCCTACTACTGGTATTACTGTGAGTTTTCCGGACCGTTTCCGGACCGCGCAATTTTCTTTTCTTCTCAAATATGAAAACGAATGCGTTCATGGGCGGATCCTTCTACTAGTGTTGCTACTACTCTCAGTATTACCACTAGCGCCGCTACCACTGCAACGCCGCTACCACTACTACACCGAGGAATTTTTGCCTTTGCTTTTCTCCACTTGACAGAAGTTCCACGGAAGGGTCAGAAATAGTCAGAAACCAGTCAGAAACCGGCCAAACGCAACCTCTCTCTCTCTCTCTCCCTTGCCTATTCCCTCACCCTCCTACCAGAACTCCTACGCCTACTCCTATTCCAATTTCCACTACCACTACTGCTAGTGCTACTGCTACTGCTAGTGCACTGTGAGTTTTCCGGACCGTTTCCGGACCGCACAAGCTTATTTTGCTCCCAAATTTGAAATCGAATGCGTTCACGCATGGATCCTTACTCTCATTACTAGATTTGCTACTACCCCCAGCACTACCACCACACCCGCTGCTACTGCACCACCCTGCACCACCACTACCACCACTACCACTAGTACACCTAGGAATTTCTGCTCTTGCTTTTAAATCCAATTGCACTCGTGTGAAGGGTCAGAAACGAGTCAGAAACCAGTCAGAAACCAGTCAGAAACCCGTCAGAAACCGGCCAAACGCAATTTCCCTCTCTCTCTCTCTCCCTTGCCTATTCCCTCACCCTCCCATCAGAACTCCTACGCCTACTCCTATTGCAATTTCCACTACCACTACTGCTAGTGCTACTGCTACTGCTAGTCCTGCTGGTACTACTGTGAGTTTTCCGGACCGTTTCCGGACCGCGCAAGCTTATTTTGCTTCCAAATTTGAAATCGAATGCGTTCACGCATGGATCCTTACTCCCACTACTAGATTTGCTACTACCCTTAGTACTACCACCACACCCGCTGCTACTGCACCACCACTACCACTAGTACACCTAGGAATTTCTGCTCTTGCTTTTAAATCCAATTGACACGAGTTCCGCTGAAGGGTCAGAAACGAGTCAGAAACCAGTCAGAAACCCGTCAGAAACCGGTCAAACGCAACCATCTGTTTCCCCCTCCCTCCCTCTCTCCTCTCTTTCTCTCTTTCCCTCCCTCTCCCTTTCTTCCCTTGCCCTGCTACTAGAACTCCTTCTCCTATTCCTACTCCTACTCCTACTCTTACCCCTCCTACTATACTACTACTACTACTACTACTACTACTACGACTAGTACTACTAGTACTACTAGTACTACTAGTACTACTAGTACTACTAGTACTACTGCTGCTGGTACTACTGTGAGTTTTCCGGACCGTTTCCGGACCGCGCGAGCCTATTTTGTTCCCAAATTTGAAATCGAATGCGTTCACGCATGGATCCTCATTATATAATACATAACTTATATTTTATGTATATGATCTGATCAACGAAGAACAAACCCTTCCGCGATTGCTCACTGTGGTACCGCGGTTGCTACGCGATTGGCTGAGCGATTGAGGGCTGTCCGGGAAAAGGTATTTTGGACAACCCCCATATATATATATATACATACACATACAGGTATATGTTATAGGAAGTGGCTCTCGCTTGGTTGGCACGGCTTAGGTATGCGAACATTGTACCAGTATCATCTATTGACAGGATTGTGTACGTTCGCCTTCGGCAAATCGTGGTCCAGTTGCCATCAGAAGGTACATCAGAAGGAAAAGCATCAATACTTTCTAAATTAGTAAGTGTTCAAGTGCCTGCCTACGCCTGCCTAGCATATTTGCAAAAGGGATCGCATCCAGGGCAACTAGGCTAGGTGGGGCTGGCACCAATAGACACATGCAGGGGGTGCCGGGAGTGACAAGTCAGTGGAGCTGTTAAACATGAATTTCTCCCCTATATGGGGACTCCAGGACTGTGTGCTTTCGCATGGCCCGCCGCTTCGGCTCCTGGGACACATCTCACTCGTACATAGATCACATAGCTGATAGCTTCTAGCGATCACTGATACAAAGCACGGCTCTCAGTCATTTGGCAACAGTTTGCAGTTTAGTTATGTCTCGGTCATGCATTGTGCAGTTCTGCTAGGTTTGCCATGGATGTCTGGCTTTTCTGAATTCTTGTTCACTTTATATAGCCCGCTTCATGATGCAAACATTTGGCTCGAGTGGCGAGGGGGACTCTTTACCCATGTAAGCATTGTAGTTTCAAGTTTCAAGTTGTTTCAAGCAATGGCTGCCAGGCGGGCTGCCAAAAACCGCGCTCGAACACCCTTGGCTGTTCTCGCGGCACTTTGGTTAGTTGCAGCAGATCCTTGCATGATATTAGAATTACCAGTAGTACCGCACAAGGCGCTGGCGGAAGTTTCAAAAATAGGAAACCTATAGGAGAGATTGGTTGTTGTGACTCACGGATGGCAGAGCGAATCCACTGATGGACCGACAGGTGGTTGGAGTTGTGTTTTTTTGCAGTGGTTGCAATGGTTGCAATGGCTGCAGTGGTCACCCCACCACAACTGCTGGATTTAGTGTGGTGTAGTGCAGTTGTGGTTGTAGTCGTAGTTGTAGTTGTAGTGTAGTGGAGTTGTAGTTGGAAGTTGTAGTTGTAATGTAGTGTAATGAGTGTAGCGCAGTTGCAGTTGTAGTTGTGGTGTGGTGCAATTAGTGTAGTGTATTGTAGTGTACTGTAGTGTTGCGTACTGTAGCATGGTAAAGTGTAGTGTAGTCTAGTGTATTGTAGTGTAAAGTAGCGCAGTTGTAGTTGTAGTGTAGTGTGGTGTAGTGGTGTAGTGCAATGTAGTGGTAGTCGCAGTTGTAGTGTGATGTAATGGAATTAGTGTAGTGTAGTGTAATGTAGTGTAACTGTAGTTGTATTTGTAGCTGTAATGTGCTGCATTTTAATTAGTGTATTGTAGCGTAATGTAGTGTGTAGCTGCAATTGCAATTGTAGTTGTAGCTGTGGTGCTGGTGGTGGTGGTGGTGGTCGTCGTCGTAGTAGTTGTAGATGTAGTTGCAATGTAGTGTAATTAGTGTAGTGCAGTTGCAGTTGTAGTTGTGGTGTGGTGTAATTAGCGTAGTGTATCGTAGTGTACTGTAGTGTTGCGTACTGTAGCGTGGTTAAATGTAGTGTAGTCTAGTGTATTGTAGCTTAAAGTAGTGTAGTTGTAGTTGTAGTGTAGCGTGGCGTAGTGCAATGTAGTGGTAGTTGCAGTTGTGGT